TTACATACTTGGGAAAATTAAAAACAATTTGGGACGAACTTGGTGATCATGAAAAGATCCCCACTTGCAAGTGCCAAGGATGCAAGTGTGGGATAAAAAAAGCTCTTTCCGTCCAAAGGGACAAAGAAAAGGTTCACCAATTTCGGATGGGATTGGATAACGAAGGATCGGGAGGCTACGATCCAACATCATCGCCACAGAGCCCTTGCTGTCACTGAATCGTGTTTACTCAATCATCATCCAGCAGGAAGGGGCCTTGAAGACTACCCAAGAAGAGGAACGTAACCTGGTAGGTTTTGCTGTCACTTCTAAAATTGATCGTGACGCAATTAAAGATTTAAAATGCAAACATTGTGGGATGAGCGGACACGAGAAGAGTGGTTGCTTTCAACTCGTTGGATATCCTGAATGGTGGGGAGATCGCCCACGCATCTTGAACCCGGGATGAGGCAATGACACAGGGGGATGGCGCGGCGGCAGGTGGGCAACGCCGACTGAGGTAACCGATGCGGGGTTAGTGGCGGCTCAGCTAGCGGTCCAGCAGGCGGACTGACGGCCCACACGGCTCAGGCCAACACGACGGATGGAGGGCGTGCGAATCTCTATTCTCTCACAACCAATCAATGGAATGCACTTATGGGACTTTTAAATGAGAAGGATTCGGGTATGGAAAATAAATTTTCAGGTATGACTAATACTTCTTGGATCATTGATAGTGGAGCCCGCCAACATATGACCAGCAATGAGAAGTGTTTTAAAAACATGGAAGTGATGAAACCTTGTTCTGTTCGTCTACCAAATGGAGATTGTGTGATATCCAACAAAAAGGGGAGTGTGATCTTGAATAATTTGATAACCTTAGAAAATGTTTTGCTAGTTCCTCAACTCAACTGTAATCTTATATCTGTCTCACAACTTCTTGAGAAAAAGAATTTAATTGTCAAGTTTAATAATAAAATTTGTATCATACATGACTGTATCTCGAAGATGGTGATTGGAGTGGGTGAGCAGGCAGAAGGGCTATATATAATATCTCAAGAAAGGTGTGAAGGACAAAGTCTGCATAGTGAAGGAGGCAAGGGATCTAGACATTTGGCACAAGCGTTTGGTTCATCCCTCGTACACCATTGTCAACACTTTTCTTCAATTATCCAAAAATACCAATATTCCTAATTCCCCTTGTGATGTGTGTTTTCGTTCAAAACAATGTCGTGACTCTTTCCCAATTAGTTTAAATAAAACTCTTACTCCTTTTTTCTTGATTCATTGTGATTTATGGGGTGGGTATCGTACTCTGTCTCGCACTGGGGCTAGATATTTCTTGACTATTGTTGATGATTTTTCTCGGGCAACATGGGTATATCTCTTGAATCACAAATAAGAAGCTCCCACTGTCCTGCGTAACTTCTTTTCCATGATTGAACGCCAATTTCACAAACAAGTGAAAACTGTACGAAGTGACAATGTTACAGAGTTCACCTATTTAAAATCCTATTTTGACAGTCATGGGATTATCTTTGAATCCTCTTGTGTCGGTACCCCACAACAAAATGGTCGAGTTGAACGAAAACACCGTCACATTCTCAATATTGCCAGAGCCCTTCGTTTCCAAGCCAATCTTCCTCTTAAATTCTGGGATGATTGCATTCTCACCGCTGCTTATCTCATTTACCTAACACCCTCTAAGCTACATAAAGGCAAAACCCCATATTCCATGATCTTTGAAAAAAGCCCCTCACACAATCATATCTGAGTTTTTGGATGCCTCGCCTATGCCCACAATCAATCCCACCATAGAGACAAATTTGAGTCCCGTTCTCATCGCTGCGTTTTCCTTGGATACCCATTCGTCCAAAAGGGATGGCGACTTCTTGATTTAGACAACAATAAAATATTTGTCAGTCGAGATGTCAAACTCTTTGAAAATCATTTTCCCTTCCGCCCACAAAATAACCCCAATCTCACAGAAACTGAACCCACTGCTGCTTCCTTTAAAGAGGAAATACCCAGTGAAGAAACTGCCTCAGAAATGATCGACGAGACTGATCGTCAAGCCAACAACGGTCGATCATCTCCCTCTGAACCTGACAATGCCACTCAGACGGTCGAACCACTGGACCGTTCCCATGACTCCGGTCGACTGTTGCACACATCGAATCCCAATATCTCTACAACAGCAACACCAAACAGCTAACCCACTGAAACAACTCAACATCCCTCTGTTCTTGATAACCAAACCCTTCCGACCCAAGACACTTTGCGCCGAAGTGAAAGAGAACATCGTCCTTTTTCGCAACTGCGAGACTTCGTCACTCACACCATTCAATGTCCCTCTCCTGATTCATTCACACCGACACCTCCTTCAGGTACAACACACTGTATTACAAATTTTATTAACACCGACAAATTTTCAGTTTCCCATAGATGTTTTCTGGCAGTTATAAGTGCAGGTGTTGAGCCTACATTCTTTTCTGAGGCGGTCAAAAACCCATTCTAGGTGCGAGCTATGAAGGAAGAAATTCAGGCATTGGAAGCTAATGGTACTTGGTCACTTGTCCCTCTGACTCCTGGAAGGAAAACAATCGGATCCAAGTGGGTCTATAAAATCAAGCGCAAGTCTGATGGAAGTATTGAACGATATAAAGCTCGTTTAGTGGTGCTTGGCAATCGCCAAAAGAGGGAATTAATTTTAAAGAGACTTTTACGCCAACAGCCAAATTAGTTACTGTTCGCACGCTCTTAGCTGTTGCCGCTGCCCGGAACTGGTTCCTATATCAAATAGATGTCCATAATGCCTTTTTGCATGGACACCTTCGTGATGAAATATACATGACTCTTCCTCGCAAGAATAATTGAATTTAAAGTCAAAATTTTTGACTTTATACTTGCGAGGTGCAATTGACGTAAGTGGAGGAGTAGTTTGGATCGAGACTTGACGGGGGGTTTACCAAGAGAGTTAGGGAGGTAGGAATTATTAATTTCATGAACGAAGCTCCTTATGGGGAGTGACTGTAGCCACTGCATAACGCCCTCAAGTGAATTTGCATGCGATCATATGTTGGATGTTGTTGCGCAGTGGACGTTTTGCGTCGCCATCCAACCGATCGAGCTAACAAGGCGGTGAGTTATTAATTTATTATTGCTTTTCCTAAAGAAACGCCCACTTATGACGAAAAGCTACTTATCAGTATTTGAGGGAATTAATTGCCCCTAATTTATTACTCGTACTATTTTTTTTTTTAATATACGGTTTTCAAGAGTACTAATTTTAGGCTTTACTATGGAGCTGTTTGGCAACTTCTGAATGGGTAAGTGCTGAACCAGTAAGAGGCCTGAATCATTAAGTGCTGAACCAGTAAGAGGTCTGAACCATTAAGAGCTAGTATATTGCTTAACTATTCAGAGGCAAATGTCTGATCAATTCAGATAACAGCTCTTAACCATTCAGACTCTGTATAATACTTAACCATTCAGAGGCAAATCTCTTAACCATTCAGACATCTGAATCATTAAGAAGCTGAAACAAACAGTCTGAACCATTAAGTGCTGAATCATTCAGACATCTGAACCATTAAGAGGCTGAAACAAACAGCCCCTAAGACTCTTAGAAGAGGAAAACTTTATTTTGTCATAATATAGCTTTAAAAACCAAAATCAAAACAACAAGAAAGATTTAGGAGAAGCTGAAGAAGATTATACTCTCTCCACCCCATAAAAAGATTCTAAAAATTTTGTTTTTCATTCAAAGCTGAAGAGGAAAACTTTATTTTGTCATAATATAACTTTAAAAACCAAAATCAAAACAACAAGAAAGATTTAGGAGAAGCTGAAGAAGATTATACTCTCTCCACCCCATAAAAAGATTCTAAAAATTTTGTTTTTCATTCATCCCAAAAAACTACAAATTTGAATTTTGAAAAAGTTTTTTTGGTGTATATAAATATCCCAGAGTAATTATTTCTTCTTTGCATCACTTTTAATAACTCAATTTCATTTTTCTAATTTACGCGCCAGACCAAAAGTGGAACGTAGACAAAACGAGTACTTAGAGATACTACAAGAAAAGGTTGAAATTAAGCACTTGAAATAAATAGGTATACTCCATTTTACGAAATAAATACGTATTATTGTCTAATATGGTATCATTGTTCATTGTCCATTGGACATTATTCAAACTAAATGTTCATCATCACTAGACATTGTTTCTACCACTAGACATTATTCAAATATTACCTTCAAATTTTTCTTAGGGTCCGTTTGGTATACGGAATTGATGAAATTGGAATTGAAATTCCATAGTATTCAATTCCATAGATTTGAATTCTGTCAATTCCAAAACATTTTTGCACAATCAATTCCAAATCTACATAATTTTTGTGCTACCAAACACCGTAATTGGAATTGAAATCCTCAATTCAAATTCCATAGTTTGAATTCCGTGTACCAAACGGGGCCTTAATAAACAGAATTGTCGTCAAATATCCAAAGCAATTTTCAAACATTACCTTCAAGCAAGCAATAACCAAGTCGTCATATTTTCGAACTTCATACCCGGCATTTTACATATGGGAGTACGTACATTTTTCTTATGTCAAAAATTGGGTATTTGTCACAAAATTATCCAATTTTTATGGTGTACTATTTACATTATACATTAGTGAAATTTGTATTGAATAAGACTAAAACATAAGTCATTTCCCAATGTATGACTTAATTTTTTTTATTTCCTAAATAAAATTTAATAATGACTAGTAAAAAAATTAATGTCTAAGTGATGCTGGATATTTAGTTGAATAATGACTAATAGATAATAACCAAATATTCTACATTAGAAAATAAAAACATATGGTCTTATATTAAGAAATTCATTATGTTTTAATCGCATTTAGGTAAATTACCCTTTACATTAATCATTCTATATGTGATTTAGATCGAGTGATTTTAAGAACAGCCACTCTCTTTTTGATTTCTCAATCCGTCAGTGTTTAATTTTCAGATTTTCAAAGTGTATAAATATATTATCGGTTCGACCACTTTTTAAACCATTAATTGGTTTGACCAATGAACAAGTAAAAAAAACATTGATGGGTTCAATTCTAAAAACTATTATATGGGCCAATCAATACAATTGCTTATACATACATAGGGGTCGGAGTACATTTTATTATGCATATTATGCATTTTGTTTTTTCTTACAATGTTTAATAAGGATGTACTCCGTTTAATAACTAAAAAAAACAGTGATTTTCTTTTCTTAAATTTAATTTAATTCAAAACTAATTGTAAATAATTAATTCATTTCTTTAACTTGTCCTCCCCATCCTCGTCCTTTTTGAGGTTGTGGGGGCGAACAATACGGCCATCTGTCCCGGCCATGATCGTGTACTTGTCCTTCCTAGTCAGGCTCGTACACTCGAACCCCAATGTTCCCCCCAACACTCTCTGTATGTAGTTCGCCACCTCGATCGCCGACTTGCCCGCTCGGCAAGTTTGCTCGGGTGGCAACTGTTCCAAGAACGTGATCTCGTACGTGGGCCTCGGGTTCATGAACACAAAGTACGGGTCCAGAACCTTGTGGCCCCGCACCGTGGTCCCGTAGAACACGCTCTGCCGTGTGTTGACCGCCACGGGCACGATCCTGTCGGTCAGCTCCGCGAAGAGCGCGCTGAACCGGAGCAGGAACGGCTCCCGGCACGTGGTCCCCTCGGGGCAAATGACCAAATCGCCCTCCTCGAGGAGCCGCTTGATGTCGGCGGCGTCCCGCTCCCGCTCCCTCGAGAGGGCCACCGCCTTGATCGGCGAGATCATCTCGGAGAACTTGCTGATGCTGTAGGTGACGCAGCTGATCTTCCGGCCGAGCGCGACCGCCGTGACGACGGGGTCCAGGACCGTGCGGTGGTTGCAGACGAGGAGGACTCCGGGGTGGCCGGGCTTGGGAGGCGGCGGCGGGGTGCCCTTGACGACGATTTTGATGCCGAGGATGAGGTAACTGTAACGGGCGATTCTTTCGGGCAAGGGGATGTTGATGTAGACCCTGAGGATGGAGAGGGCTATTCCGACGGGCATCCATAACAGCGTCAGCAGTGCCACTAACGGCGTCGGCCGTTGCACCAAACGGCCGTCGTGGAAAATGACGGCGCCGAGGAGCTGATTTCTCGGCAACGGCTCGCATTTGGTTCGTGGGACCATGTACGCTTCCTGCAAAAAAGTTGAAAAAACTCGAATATTATCTTTATCCCCATAATAATATTCCTATTTACCTAAGAAACCACAACTCCACACATCAATCTTTTATTGAAAATGCAATTCGTTGTCCTGTTTTTTTACTTTTATAATCACTTAAATCACGAATTAAATATAATTTTAGATAAATAAAAATTATAATATTTGATATATCAAACTACATATGTACCTAATTATATTAAATTTATATTTAAATTAAATTCACTTTAATTTACTCACAGTTTATGATCAAATTTAAAATAAAAGTCAAATTAGGATAAATTTTTGAGGAGGAAGAGAGTACAATTAAGTGTGTGTGTGTGTGTATATATATATATATATATATAGACACACACACACACCCCACCCCGGAGAAAATGAAATAGTTGTTCATCATAAGAGTGTACAATAAATAATGTTTATACATTTTCATTAAAAAGTCTATAGAGTCTTAAGTAGATGGACTGAAAATTGGTTGATTTTCAAGGATTGCTAGACTGATTCGGTGTCACCAATGCAATACTCTCATAACTCATCATATGGAGTAAGCAATAGTCTAACCTATATTTTTTAACATTAATGCATTGACTTTTAATTTTTTATGGAGTGAGTGCAAATGGGAAGGACTAGTGACTAGAATCCATCATTCATGGTGGGTATGTATGATATGGTTGTTGACTAAAAACAAGATGATTTCTGTTTTAAGGTTCTTTTTAAGTTTTGTTCAGAGAGTCATCTAAGATACTTCCTCCGTCCCAAAACAAAAGTTACGTTTCTTTTTTTGCGCATCTCATAAAACACTTCTATATCGTCTCAAACGCAAAAAAACTTTCAAAACGATTTCTATCCACAATAAAGGATAATGTGGTAATTTTTAGGCATTTTAGATGTGAGTAAAAAAATTTTTGGGATGCACAAAAAAAAGAAACGTAACCTTGTTTTGCATGAAACGTAACATCATGCAAAACAAAAAACATCACATTATTTTTGCTAGGAATCGAACAGGGTAAGAATGACTTTTGAATGTATATGATATGACATGGTTAATTGTTGACCATATTTCGTAGGGTTATGTTAGGGTGATATCACATGAATGGCATCGTAAGTGCATTATGGTTGTTGTTGTTGTTGTTTATTAATGAGGAGGAGGTGTGGGTGGTTCATTAGTTGGACCAGACTGACGGTACATCATTCGCATGCATTGGCTGTTTCTTTTTGTGAAATTTGTACGAAATAGGACTAAAACATAATGATTTTCCTAATCTAGGGCTTAAACTTTTTTATTCCTTAAATAGGAGTTATTAATGTCTTAGTGAAAGAAATAATGTCCAGTAATGATAGACATTTACTTGAATAATGACTAATTCATAATGACCTAAAGTCCTAAATTGGGAAATAAAAACATATGATCCTATATTGGAAAAGTCATTATGTTTTAGTCTTATTTAAGTAAATTACTCTTCCTTTTTTGTACTTCCATACGTTCTGCAATCCCACATAAATGTATATATGTACGTACTACTCCTCCCTCAATCCTTCCAAAATTTCATAATTTAATTCTTTTGGTCAAAACTTAAAAACATGACTATAAATTATGATTAAATTATAACTTAAACTGAATATGATTAGATTTAATCTATGGTGCAGTTTGTGTATATCAAAATCATTTAACTTTTATGTCTAACTATAATTATATTTAGTAATAGTCAAAGTGTTGTCAGTTGATCAAAATAGTCAAACTATAAATTAATTTAGGAGACGAATGGGTTACTATTTTTTTATTATTCAGTAAATTAAACCATGCAAACTATTCTCTACTCCATATTTAATTTAATTATTCTATCCACCTACTCAAGAATAAATATATACCTGGTTTTTAATGTAATTAACCATTTATGAGAGTAATAATCATTTTCAATCACATTAGTTTCATTCTTAATAATTTCATTTTAAAAAAAACCAAGTGGAATAAAAGCTTGAGACACCTCATTTAAATAAAAAAAAAGGGATTTAGGGAGTATTTTCTTTTTTCTTTCCATTTGAGTAATTATTACTTTTGTCATCGTGTAATAAAATTCTACTAAGGCCCTGTTCTTTTGTATTGAAATTTAGAGATAGACGCTTAGAAGAAACTGTGGAAGAAACTAGGAGTTGGACAAAACTTGAAGAAGTTGGAAAATTCTGGAAAAATTAAAGTGTTAAAAAGTCACACAATTAAATGATCACTAAATTAAATATGTAAAAAACTCTAATTTTGGATAAAAAAGAATTCACCATTGTCTGGTTTGAGGTGGTATGTTATAAATTTGAATATATAATGTTATTTCATATCCATCGTATATAAATACCTTTTTTAAGTCATTGAAAGAAATTGGAAAGAGTTAAAAAAATTTGAAAGTTAATTTTTTCAACACAAAAGAACAAGATCTAAAATAGGACAAAATTAACATACTTCCACCGTTTCGCAAAAGAATTTTTTTCTTAATTTTAAAAAATTAAAAATTGTATATTTCATACTCATAATTAAAGTAAGATGTAGTGGTAGGTATATTTATAGTGAATAGATATCATACGATATACTACGTAGATGTATTTGATTATAGGTGTAAAATCTAAAAATTATATATATATATATATATATATATATATATATATATATATATATATATTAAAACTACATTAAGAGCTCTACAAAACTATAAATGACATTATGATATTATTTTATCAAATTACTGTTAAAAATAAATAAAAAAGTAAATAAAATTTTACTGTGCAAATAGTACATAACTGGGAAGATAACTTTAAGACAATGGAAGTATTATATTTGTGGATCTCATAATAAATGTTTGGCAATATGGAATACGCATTATTTTTGTGATTTATTGCACTTCCTCTGTCACAAAAACTTCTTTCTCTTTCTTTTACTTGTCTTACAAAATCCTTCTCATTTCTATTAAAAAAATCACTTGTATCCCTATTAACTTTTAACCTACATATCACATCATACTTTTTTACTAATATTCTACACATGACATTCTACTTTTACTCATCACATCAAAGATATTTTTGAAAAGTTAACACAAAAATATTTTTTCCTTAAATTTCCTAAAAGTCAAAGTGAAAATATCTTTTTGGGACGGAGGATGTAGTAAATGTTTGCGGAATAAATTTACACTTAATTGTCTTAATTGTTCTTCCTCAAAACAGAAAAAAAAGTCTTAATCACTTAACATTACATAAATAAATGATCACTGACCCACTTTGTGTTGCATAGTTGAAATAGCAACCGTTGCACATGACTTTGGTGTGTATGTATAGGTGCATGCAATAATAATTCATATTATATGTCACGAGGACTGCATGACCCTACTATCAAAGTGAAACAACTTATATATGGACACATATAATTTCACCTTAATTGATTACATGTTTTACATGTATGTCAAATTTCATATTATATACGGAGTAATTCTCATTGTTTTACATGTATGTCAAATTTCATGTCAAATGAACCTAATTTCATTTCGTGTAATAAATGCAAACTGATAAAACGGCTGGTTAATTACGTACCTTACAAAGGGACATAAAGTCACAATCGGTAACTCTATCACCGAGGCCTAAATCCGGCAGGTTATGGGGTCCGAATTCGTGGATGACGGCGGCCCTCTTCCGCTCCCCAACCAGAACGTCCCCTGGGCTCTTAACGAACCCAGTGGCACGTCCTGATTTGGTCACCTCCAACTCAGTGCCAAGAACTTTATCTGCCCCCAGAAAGTTCTTGGCGAAGTATTCCACCATGATCCTCGGGTTGGCCGTGACGATGTACTTTTTCTTACAAGAATTGAAAACCTTCCACGTCTGGGGATTGACGTCCTCGGCGTAAAACTTGGGCAAAACTGCCCTCGACACGGTCTCGATGTCTTTGATCTTGAGGCCCGCGAAGGCGATGAACACGAACGTCTCAATGGCTAAGGGTTCGGACACAAACACATAAGAGAAGTAGACGAAGGGGACCGACGCGAGGAGGAGGACCGCTCGGAAGAGGCTTCCGGCTTCTAGGGCAACCAAGAAGAAGTAAGGGAATGCACTTGTCGAGAGCAATAGGGTGCCGTCTAGATCCGACGCGACCGTTTGGTTCGATCTCCCTTCGGGTTTGCATTTTGATATTGGTTCAAATTGGGGGGGTGGATGAAGAAGGTGGTGATCTTGATGATGATAAGCACCCATATGTGATCAGGATGCCGGCCCCTATTCAAACTTAATTGCCTCCTTCACTAAATGAAATGGTGTGTGTTATGTTATAAATTGTGTGTTATGTGTGTGGAGTGAATTGAAGAGGCCATGGGGTTTAAAAAGAAGAGATTTGAGAATCTATCATGTCATACTTATGTTGAAAGTAATGCATGCAATTATTGTTGTGAACTAGTGACAGTTGTTTACTAATATTAACAGTGCCGGTGCGGTGAAGCCTTTTATATTAAGAAAAAAACTATTGGATAAAGCTATTTGTACCCTCAAGAATTTGTATCCCATTTTGTTCACTGCAGGGATGCACCAACATGTTATGTTGGTGTAATGCTAACTTTTGTAAACGCACTAACACTTTGTGCCAGTGTAAATTTTTGTTAACGCACCAACACTTTGTGTCAGTGTGAACCATCAAAATGTTGGTGCATCCTTTTGGGGTACAAATGGGGTACAAATTTTAGAGTAAATGTAGCATGCTCCAAAAAACTACTCCCCCATTCCTCAAAGATTTTCCAGTTTAATTTTTTACCCGTCTTATACAACATTTTTATCTCATCTCAAATGTTTAAAATTTCTCCAAATCAATTTCGGGCTGTATTAAACGAGAAATGAGCATAATCTTAGACATTATAATCAGACCTAGCAAAACAGACTCGGTCCCGATCGATAACCCGACCCAAATAACCCGATATCGAATCCAAAATGATCCAAAACTGAAGAACCACATTAAATCTGAACACCTAAATGATCCGAACCAAACCAAAACAGAATCAAATGTATTCATACCCAATTCAGATCCGGATCTGATTGAACATGAACCAGTTAGACTCGAACTGATTAAATCCGAAATCAATTAGAACCAAAACCGATTCGACCCTAAAATGATTAGAGCCGATATTAATCAAGTTCCGAACAAATAAAACTCAAATTCAGACAAACCTAATAGCTCATTGGTTGATGTCTTTCTAAGAAAACATATTTGAATTATAGGTACAACTGATTTAATGTATAAATCTTTTACTCCGTATTTTATCACTTAAACAAAGGTTGTCTATTTTTATAGAAAGTTTATATACTATATAGTGATCACATCGTAACACACATCAATGGATATACTAGCTCATTATTGCTGACACTTGTATATATACTCCCTTTACACATAAAGAGGAGAGGCTACACACAAGGCTAACATTAGGAACTCTAATACCAAAGGATCTCATCTGAAATCGGTATAAACCTGAATTATATAAACCCGAACCAGTATAAACACGAACCGGTATAAACCCAAACCGATATAAACCCGAACAAGTATAAACCTGAATCGAAACCGACCCAAAACTAGGAAAAATCAAACTGAATTTAACCCAAAACCAAACTGACCCAACCCGAACCGATCCAAAGAGATTATAACATATATTTAAAAGAGACCCAAACCGAAAACATCTGAACTGAAATCAAACCAATTGACCTGATTGCTAGGTCTAATTATAATTGTGGATAGAAGTGTTTGTTAGAGTCGTGTAAAAACTAAAATAGAACATATTTTTGGAATGGATGGGAGTGTTAAATATATTGTATATATTTAATATATTGTATTATTCCCTTACCTTATTTGTATAGGTTTCTTTCCTTATGTCTCGTTTACCGTGTTTAGGATTGAGACTCCTTTTATATAAATACATGTAAACACAACTCTATTCATCAATGAAAATCATTATTCTTCATGGTATCAAAACCTAATTAAACGAAACAAAAAAACAAACCCTAACCCTACCTCTCGGCTCTCTCTCTCTCTCTCGGCTACTCCAGCGGCGCCCAGCCGCCCCACCTCCTTCTTCGCCGCCAGCAAGAAGTGGCATCTCAGCCGCCATACTCCCCTCTCCTTTTTCCTACTTTCTCCTCTCCAATGGCCGACAACGAGGTCACCTCTCACACCACCCCAGCAAAAACTCCCCACCTTGCCTTTACGATGATATCAAACGTCAAACTTCATGTCCCTGTTCTTCTCAGCCTCTCTCAACCAAACAACAAAAAGTGGAGTTGTCTTTTTCTCCTCCTTGTTCGCCGATTCAATCTCCAAGGCTACATCAACGGCTCCGCCGTCCCTCTCTTTGATGATGACGATGAGTGGCTCCAACTCGACGCTCTCCTACAAGGCTTGATCCTGTCCACCATCTCTGACGAAGTCTCAGATCCGGTTATCTCCTTTGTCTCCACCACTTCTGCACTTTGGAAAGTTATTCATGATCTTTTCACGACAACAAGAATGCTCGTGCCATGCAACTAGAGCACGAGTTCCGCACCACTGTCAAAGGCAACACCCCCATGGTGGCCTACTGTCAGCATATGCAGAATCTTGCTGATTGGCTGGACGATGTTGATGCCCCGGTGTCACAACACCAACTTGTCCTTCAAATGCTTTGTGGACTTCCCGCAGATCTGCAGGCCCAAACATCCTTCCTTCAATTTCAGGATCCGCTGCCTAATTTTCTCCAAGCCCGCTCCGCCCTTATGTTATTGGACCGGCAATGCTGCCCCATGGCCGACACGAGCAGCACGGCCCTTATCACCGGACGACCTGGCATTCCCGGCGGCGGACGGCAACCCATCGGCGGCAGCAGCGGCGGATCCCAGCAGCACGACAGTGGCGGCGACAGCTTCCATGGCGGCGGGACCCAGGCCCAGCACGGCAGCAGCTACGGTGAGGGCGGCTCCTCCGGACAGCGCAACGGCTATGGACGCGGCGGAGGGCACGACAATGGGTCTAGAGGTAGAGGTCGTGGACGACAAAGCGGCTCGAGGCAGCGGACCTATCCCGACGGCTCAAACGCCTCGAACTCACCTTACCGAAATCAAAACCCGGGCTTATTGGCGTTCTGGATGTTCGAAAGAAGTTATACTTTCATTGATTTGATCTACTTTTTATTGTCTCTAATATATAAAATATTGCGCATATAAATATAAATAGTCCAATCATTTTCAACATAATCATATTGTAAAAACAATACTTCGTATTTAGTATCTTCGATCAATTAAGCTTAACTGCATTGTAGAATATTAACTATTATTTATCTCTAAACTGTTTCATTACATCTTTAGTTTGTTCATCAAACAATATCACCTTGGGTCAATTTGTTGCTCGCTACATAGGTAAAAGTAAAACATAAAAAAATGTAAAAAACATTCTATGTCTTTATTCCAAAAGTAGAGTTACAAAGAAAAAAATATCAATCATTAAAGAAAAATAGGTTTGATTACATTATATGACATGTCTGATATTTAAAAAAAATCTTGTGATATATAAAATATAATTACAAATATATTATTTTATGATAAATATTGCATAAATAAAGTGACGTGCAGCGTAGCCACAATAACTTTTAAATATTAAACATTTTGATATTTATGCTAATTTTATATTCTAAATAATATTTTTGCAAAAGTTTTTTTTTGTGTATGAAAAATAAAAATATTTTATTTAATTTTAAAGGCATTCATTAAGATAACGTGATGACAACAACCACAATAATAATAATAATAATAATTTATAACAACAAGAAATATAATGAAAATAATCGTGAAGCCCCGGGGCTGCAAACTAGGGCTTCAAACCTTCATTTTTTACATTTTAAATACACATATTCTAAAATTAAATTAATAAAATTTAAATATTTAATTATTTAAAAGAATTGAAACGAGAATAGTTCATTAAAAAATTACATTCATTATAAAAAATTACATTCATTAAATAAAATAATTACATTCATTATAAAAAATTACATTCATTAAATAAAATAATTACATTCATTAAATAAAATAATTACATTCATTAAATAAAAAAATTACATTCATGAATAAATAAATAAAATACTTGAATAATAATTTTTTTAAAAAGATGATAGATAAAGAGAGATTTGTATTTTTGTTGAATTTAAAAAAAAATAATTTAATTTATAGAGAAGAAAAGAAGAAAAAAGAGGGAGAAAGGGAAGAGAGAAGGCGTTCTAACGCCTTCAAATTGCGTCAAAAATTTGACGCCGGAATTTTAACGGGCCATAACGGGGAGAGGGAGCGGTGTTTAACGCCCCCCAGGCGTCAGGGATGTCAATGGATAGCCAAAAATTCGATTACCGTCTACATCCGTATCTGTTTAAAGAGGAAATATTTGCATCCGTTTTAAACGGATATTATCCGTATCCGATTAAGGACATCCGATTACTAAACGGATACAGATTTGGGAATTATATATCCGATCCGTTTAAAATCCGATCCGAATATGCATCCGTTTAAATAGCCGTTAATCTGAATATCCGGTCCGTTATATATAATTTTTCCTAATTTTTTTATATTTATATTTTGTTTTTCTCTATTGATATTTCAAAATACAAGACATATGTATACAAAATAAATGTGTAGGCACATAAAAATATTTTTATATGTTTCATGTGTATATCTTTTTATCATATGAAGTTATCGTAGAATATTATAAATCATGAAAACAAATAAAATAATTATCAAATAACAAATTATAGTTGATTTAATAATAGTTTGACATTAATATAATTTAAAATTAAAGTATTGTTTAATTTGATTTTAAAAATTGGAAACGGATATGGATATATCCGATATCCAACAGATGCGGATACAGTTTTGATTTTCAGTATCCGTCAAGATCCGTATCCGAATTTGATATCCGAAACGGATTTGGTAATGGCATATCCGATCTGATTAATATCCGTTTACACCTCTACCAGGTGTCAAAACTAGTATAACGTGGTTGGGCGTGATGCCCATTACCACTGCTCTAAAGAAAAATAGGTTTGATTACATTATCTGACATGTCTGATATTTAAAACAAAATCTTTTGATATATGAAGTATAATTACAAATATATTATTTTATGATAGATATTTCATTAATAAAGTGACGTGTAGCATAGCCACAATAACTTTTAAATATTAAACATTTTAATATTTATGCTAATTTTATATTCTAAATAATTTTTTTGCAAAAGTAGTTTTTTTTGTGTATGAAAAATAAAAACACTTTTTTTATTTTAAAGGCATTCATTAAGATAATGTGGTGACAACAACAACAACAACAACAACAATAATTTATAACAACAATAAATATAATGAAAATAATATAAAAATACACAAAAAATTTAAAGTTTTTTAAGATTTTTCAATTTTTTCTAGTTTTTCAGTTTGATTTAATTTTTTCCAGTTTGTTGTTGTTCGTTCCAATGCCTTCCAGTTTCTTCTAGTTTCTTCCAGGTCTTCCGATTCCTTAATGTTTCTTCCAACATTTAATTCTTTTTTTCAGTCCCAAAGAACATGCTTTTAGTTGTTGTGCTTCCTATGATCATCTGCTCCATCCATCGGTAATAAAAGAGTATTTACTTTTCTTCAACCTTACATGCTTCCCTTGATTTCAGTTATCCCACATATATATCTTTCAATACGATGTAGGGAGTAGCACACAATTACATTCTTAAACAAATTAAGAATTTTATTTTTGAGCATATTTAAAACAAAAGTGGGGATTAATATAAGCGCAGAGATCTAAACAAATTGGCATACATGTACGCAAATGATTTTAGCATTGTAAGGACAAGTATGTGATTTGTTATAACTAAACTAACTTTGGAAGGAACAAGTATTATTTTTTTCATCATAACTAATTTTTTATATTGTATTTTTCTATTATTATTTTTATTTTCTCATTTTATTTATTTTATTTTCTTGTTCATAAATTTTTAAATTTAAATTTTTTTAAGATATATATGTTAGAATATAAATAATTGTTCTTGGGACACAACCATAAGCTTGTGGTTGTGGGCCCAAAAACAGTTATTTATATTCTAACAATACCTATAGAGAAAATTTATAAACTATTTTTTTCAAACAGCCAAGTTCAAAGGCTTCCCCTTGACTTTTCAGATTTTCACTTTTCGGACCGAACAGCTAAATGAAAAGGTCATTTGCCAAGCAATGATTATGACTATTTAGTTAATCAGAACAGCCAAAATCAGTCAAAGAAGTCAAAACGAGCTTAAAAGCCACCATCCAAACACTAACCAATATGTATAGTGATGTAAAGTCAGAATAAATTCTCCGCGCCTTGGCATACTTTCTATGGGAAAAATGAATGCGGTATATCGAACCCCATAGAAAAATAGCTAATCCTAATTAATATTGAAGTGTTTCCTTTTATTTGCTCCTAAACAAATCTTTGGCCTTAATTAATCCTCCGCGTTTTCCAAATTCTACAAAGATAAAGAACAAGTCCAAAGTATTCAATTTTTGTGTTCTCCAACTTTTACCCTTTTGACCATTATTTGCAAGAATAATTTACGTAAATAAGACTAAAACATAATGACTTTCTCCAAATAGAAACATATGTTTTTATTTCTCAATGTAGGACCTTTGGTCATTATTAATTAGTCATTATTCAAGTAAATGTCCATCATTGCTGGGCATTATTCCTTCCACGAAGACATTATTAAGTCCTATTTAGGGAATAAAAAAGTTTAAGTCCTAGATTAAGAAAATTATTATGTTTTAGTCCTATTTAGTGCAAATTTCACTATTTGCAATGCAATGGGAGGTTAAAGAAAATAGAAAGGGCCAAAGGGGTGGCACTGCTGTTGATACTTAAATAATTGCAGTGGTTGAAGGTCCTTAGCAAATGGTTGTAAACATTCAATTAGCCTACTTTTTAGATCTTAATAATAAAGTCCCATTGCCTCGTTACAGTCTATGTTTTGGGGAGAATATTTCGTACCAACTCTCGCCAGATGTTATTGAGTGAAATTGCACTATCATTGTTTTTTTTAAGCCTAGCTAGAAATTACAAGTTCAATTCTCAACCGTTTTCATGTTTAAGTATTAAAATTTTTATGATTTTTTTGTTGGATCTGAATCAAGTCTTCACAGTTTTGTTTTTGGCCAGTCTTCAAAAGACTTGATAGTAATTGATTTGGGTAACCTTATAAATATTGGTTTTCCTTCTTTTGTTCTTCCGGTGTGGGTAGTTTGCACCCAATAAACCTCCCCTCAAACAAACGACCACATAACTCGTGACTTCTCATTCAGCGATTGTCCATTTGATCTGTCACCATCTTGCACTGCTGCTACACACCTGTGGGACACATCGTTCGACCTTTTCCTGTCAGAAAAATTTTCGACACAAGGAATATAGCAGACCACCAATCCGCTAAACTTGCATCATTTGATCTACAAAATCATCTTGTACCACCATTAACACCAAACGGGGCACGCCGTCCGACCACCACTTGTCAGGAAGACTTTCTACACAAGGCACCGCTTGTAGACCTTTGGTCATGTTGTCACACCGGGCACACCGAGAACTTTTTACAACGCAGTCTGCCACTCTTGCCCGAATGAACTTGGGCTCTGGTACCATGTTGGGACTGCAAGTATCCTCACCCCAACCCCATATTAATATGATATAGTCCGTTCTGGGTCAAGCTCTCACAAATTTGTTATTGGGCACACCTCAAGGCACCGCTTGTAGACCTTTGGTCATGTTGTCACACCGGGCACACCAAGAACTCCGTACAATGCAGTCTGCCACTCTTGCCCGAATGAACTTGGGCTCTGGTACCATGTTGGGACTGCACGTATCCTCACCCCAACCCCATATTACTATGATATAGTTCGTTCCGGGTCAAGTCCTCACAAATTTGTTATTGAGAACACCTCAAAAGGCATCATACTAATGAGGTTGTGTAACTATATAAATATTAGTTTTACTTATATTCTTCGGGTGTGGGAGGCTAGTTTGCACCTAACACTTTTTAACTATAAAACTTCTTATAAAATTAAAATTCTTGTTGACTTAGTTTCTAGGCAACTTATAATGAGTACTTTGTAATGGAATACTTGGACTGGCCCAATATACTTATATACTCTCTCCGTCCCATAAAGTGTTACCCATTTTGACTAAAGTAGAAATTAAGGGAGGGATAATTTTGTGTTGACTTTCCAAAAATATCCTTGATGTGATGGGTAAAAGTACGATGTGA